CTACCTAATCAAAAACTTTAAATGATCACATTTTTAATTGCGACCTATGTATTTATTTCGCTTGAGTTTGGTCCAATCCGGAAGCTGCTTTCACCTGAAGTAACTAAACTATACTAGTATTAAACCATGGAATTGCTCTAATGAGATATTATTACTGTTGCTGTTTTTTCTTGAATGATTTTTATATGTAACAGTTATTGTTATTGAAGATTTAACTGCTACTGAATCTTTATCATTAAAAAAAAAAATGCTACTGAATCGGGCCTTGATTAGCGATTAGGTACAAGACAATGACATGCATGTTTCTCAAACTCCATGATGATGGAAGAAAACGATATAATGCCCGACAAATTTGAAAATGTAAGAAAATTTGACAAAAGAATAAAAGAAGAAAAAAAAGAATAAAATGACAAAACAGTGATTTCTATTTAAAAAGAAATGCTTGAGTTACGACTAAATTGAACCATTGACAAACAATTCTAAAATATATCTTAAGATTAATGGGAAATTCGATTTTCAAAAGAAAAATCTTTGATACTTTGTGAATTCTCTATTAACTAATCTTAAGAAACTATTGAATATTGTGTTATCACAAGCGAGTCTTCCAAATTCTTAAGTATCTATTTCATCACTCAAAGACTGCATACACAATAGAGCTAATTAGGTGAATATACATAGAACTTCTTGAAGTAGAGCGCATATACTCTATAAAATATAAATATATATTTCACACGGCAATCACTATGTTATATATATGAACATGATTATTTTCTAGTCTGATAATCATTCTCCAAAAAGTAATATCTTTTTTTTTTTGGTATGAATAGAAAAGTAATATCTTTTTGTTGCACAAAACCTTAAACTTTTTGTTATAATATTTTTAGGATATAAAATGTACTTCGCTATACCCCTCCAGTTTTGCAGTCTAAATAATTTTCTTCCCAAACTAATTGAGTTCATCGCTAAACTCCTTCTCCCAAACTATGCATTCAATGTGGAAAATAGATCTACAAATCAATACGGATATATGTAGCCGGAAAAGTGGCAGATCAAAGTCAAAAAATGGAAAAAGCCAATCTAGATCCATGCAAACCCTAATAAAAATAGAAAACTAGGCTAAAAATTTATCCTTTTTTCCTCCAAAATTCTACTATTTTCTTTTTTCCTCCAAAATTTTGGAAGTTTATTTTTTCTATCCCATGCAAAAAGTTTTGTATAA